GTTTCCAAGAGAATATGCTGTGTTTGAATCCTAGCATGCTGGACCTCTGGACCTTTAAGTTCTTGGCCTGGGTGGCATCTTTGCTACTTTTTTTGTTTTCTGTCACTAGGATATTTCCTGTACAGTGCTAGAGAGGAATGATTTTGGCAGTTCAGGAAACCCCCACAGCACCCTGAAACTCTTTTACTATACTTCCAGACTTGTGGTCATCCTGTTTTGTTCATTTCTTCCTGGACATGTAAGCTGTGCATGGGTTGCACAAGTTATGTGAAGCTTCTACACGCCTTTCATCTTTAGAGGATCTGATACTTATTCTTTCAGACTGTTTTCCCATCACTCTAGGATGTTCTTCGATCTTAGTTCCTCTGTGTAGGATCCCTCCTCACACCATCAGCATACAGCCCATTTGGTCTTTCAGAACAGGCTGTGTAATGTACTGGACTATGGATCCTCCTTTCTCCAGTCACTTTGGGATCAGCCTCTTGGATCATAAGAATTGCTAGTAGGACAGCAGCCTGAGAGAGAGGAAGAACTGCCCTGGCTCCTTTTCTTATATCTGGATAATTTTGTTTGGTTGGGTGATGGAAGGCTTTTCCATTATTACTCTTTTCCTGGTACAGGGCTTTCTTCTGACCTTTTACATGTTTTAGCTCCAGCTGGGAGCAGCAAACAAGTTCCAGGGTCACTTTGGAAGCTGCTGAGTGCCTTGTGTGCATAAGGAACAGCTGCAGAGAGGAGCTGCACTGTAGCTGCTCAGAGTTCTGTGAGCAGAGCAGTTCACAGAAGACATACAAGGTTAAAACAATGAAGGGCACAAAAGCATTGATGAGCCTGAATGTATTTGGATCCTGTGAACTGAACTGAATGGAATATTTTATTTTCCTAAATTGCTGTGCAAAGCTGCTTGTTCCATTTGAGAAGCGGGTTCTTATTTGCACATTCCTTAGACTTTATTCCTTCCTTTCCATCTACAAATGTAGACTTAATGATAATACTTAATTGTGCCTGGTCTGTTTTGGGGGTTGGGGTTTGGTTTAGTTTGTTGAGTTTTGTTGATGTTGTTTGCTTGGGGAGTTGTTTGTTTGTTTTTAACTGGGGGGAGGTGGTATCTTTCTGTTCCTATTTAACACACAGTATGAGAGTTCTGCCATTAACCTGTGAACAATTCATGATCAAATGGTAGTAGAATTTCCCGTTTCCATCCCTATCATCATCTCTCCCCATTTGGGCTGTGTTGAATTGTTTCACGAATCCTGTAGTGGGAATTAGCAAGGAGTACTGTTATAAACTACTTATTGCCAATGATTTATATTGCTTAGTGTGCTACTTCCACAAGTTAAGATAACTGAATACATTTGGTGTCTAGCTGGGTACATTCTATCCAGAATTTAGACTCTAGTACTAAGTTTTAATTTGAGAAAGAGAATGGCAGGTATTTACTGTTCTTAAACAACCTAACTTTTGTTACAGTGCTCTGTGTGTGTGTGTATACTAATGGTTGGGCTCCCTTCATTTTAGGGAGATTCTGGAGGTCCCTTGGCCTGCACAGGAAAGGGAAATAGATGGTATCTTGCTGGCATTGTGAGCTGGGGTGAAGGATGTGCTCGACGCAATCGTCCTGGTGTGTACACTAAGGTGACAGCACTTTATGACTGGATCCATCAGAACACAAACTGATCAGCTAAGGAGAAAATGCACATGATCTCCATATGAAAGACACTTCCTACTGTAGTCTATCTGATGACGTAAAACGAAAATGCCATTGACTGTTTCTTTGTCAAAGAATAGACTTTCTTAATGAGGAAACTATAATTTGTGTTTTATCTAGAAATAACTGATCAGATCCAGAGAAACATCAGGTTCCTTATGGATTCATCTTCCTTATCCCCATTACCAGAAACAGCACTGCCTTAAGAACAAAACAAAATGGATTTGAACCTGTTACAAAAATCCAGCCAAATCTCTCTTGTGCAAGTCTTCTCTTCTTCTGTGTCTCTTGCTATCTACATATCTCTGAATGCTTCCACAGACATATATCTGCATATTTGTAGCCACATTCCATATATATTCAGCTAATGTATATTGTCTTAGTGATGTTCCAGGATTCTAAACATAAATAATTATTTCATATTTCTGAAAAATACAAATAGTGTTTGATGTACAAAGCTTAGATAAATTCATCCTCTAGTTATTCTCCCACTGCTCGACTATTACTTTCTGGGCTGTAACTTTTGGGATCTCTCTTTCGTTTTCTTAAGAATACCATATATATTGCTCAAAAATGTTAGGATGCAAGAAATTTCTCTTAAAGAACCAGAAGAGCGTGACGTCTAGGTAAATGGAAAGAATTAATCAGTTGTAATTAATTAAACTAAAAAACCCTAATGCTTTTTCTTACATTGTCTTTGCAATGTGAACATAACTGAAGGGTTTAATGTTTCCAGTTTGTTACAGGTGTATTTCTCCAGCTCTGTCTCTGGCATGCACTGTGAATCTTAAGCATGTGTTCACTGTTTTTCCTGACTTCCTTGGTCCACAGCATGCAGAGTTTCAGGCTCAGGATTTTTGGGTTTTGTATCTTTCTGGGCTATGCCCATGTGGCCACATTTCATTGAAAAGGATGTAAAAGGAAAATAGATTTATGTGATTGGATTCATCCTTGGGCTCAAAAAAAGTAGAAAAGGAAATGACAGTCACATTCCTTTAACTCTGTCAGTAAATCTAATTTTGATAATTACAATCTCCTGATCATCCCAAATCTAGCTGATTTAAGATTTCCAAAACTGCTTATGGGACTTAAGAGTACTGGTATTTAGCTTAATAAAAGATTTATTTAAATGGCCCCTAAGACCATGCAGACGGTCTTTGAATTGTGCTCAATATTTGGAAGTGGTTAGCTTTCACATTTAATGTATTTGGAGGAAAAAAAAAAAAAAAAAGTTGACAATTTGAATGTCTGTCATTGCTGTTCACACAGAAAACATACTCTGCAGCACAAAAACATGTGATCTTTAGTTTTAGATCCACCTTGGAGGCATGTGGGGAAAATGCTGGAATGTGCTACCACTGTATTCTGCATGCAGCTAGATTCTTCTTTCTAACAGTGATATTGCTTTTCCTTCCTTTCTCTATCTAGTGTTGGGCACCTTACCTTGGCTTCTGTCTAACTTACAGCATAAGGTGTACTCAAAGCCTATATTTTAGGAGTTTACTATCTTTAATGGCTGATCAGTCATTCACATCTTCATTTTTAATAAACACATGCTAAAACTGCAAGTGGATATGTTTTATTTGTTTGTGCCTCTGAAACCCTAATCCCCAGGTGCAATCAGAACTACATTTGTACCTTGGAGTTTCATCTTTTTGTAAAGCTGAGCCTAGTGTAACTCTGTTTCTAAAGTGCACATTTAAAGGCACAAGTTTCTTTTCCTTATATTGAAACCAGAAATGTCTTGGCTGGGCAAGAAAACAGTTTTCCTGCTGTTCTGGTTTAGATAAAAGCCTAGCCCAGAGTGTTCAGGCCAGTTCCTGACTTCTCATTTTATTTAAGAGTTTCTCAGTAACGTGTGTCAGAAGGGCTGGTACTTCACATGCAAGAAGAGCACCAAGTGTGGAGGATTCCCCCAGATGAAAGGAACTCAACACTTTAAGGAGCTCCTTCACAGATATATAGAGAGAATAAGGACTTTGGCCTGTGTGTGGTGAGATCCATAATCATTAACTCATTTGACTTGGAAAAACCGTTTTGGTTTCGGAAAATTCTGTAGGAGGGTAATGCCTTTTATTGTGAGTGGAAGTTATATAAATGAAGCTGCTCTCCAGCCAGTGTACTGAGAACCAGCTGAGAAAGGCTTTTCTAGTGAAGATGTCCCAGGCAAAATCTTGTGGATCCAGACATATGTTATATCCTTGATGACTCCTCAGCTTCATCCTCAGTCCTCAGGATTCTCAGAACTAAGAGGTGAGGTTATGCAATTTGTATTTCTTTTTACTTGCTGAATAAACATAAGATATGTGCTCAGTTCCATGGAGGGTCTTCGCCTGCGTGGCTGTGACACAACATCAGGAATCTGAACCCTGGGCATCAGTAGCCACATGAGTTGCACAAATTTAAAAAAATCAAAGTGGGGGGGTTGGGAGAGAGAGCATTCCAAGCTCGTGTCAGGAAAAAGAAGTAGCAGTGTTCTGAGTGGATAGCCAGGCAGCAGAGAAGGGAGCTGCTGAGAGAGGCTTTGTTTGGCTCTTAATGCATGATCCTCCCTGTGCTGGAACAAAAGAGTAAGCAAGAATGCAGTTACCAGCTATCTGCCCAACCCTGTAGATCCAGAGGGGAGAGAGATGCTCTGTGGGGAGGAAGGAGAAACATGAGGGTGGAGTCAGAACAGGAGAAATAAAAGGAGGTAGGATGAAGGATAGTGGGGAGGTTGGGGGTGAAATCAGCCCTGGCTGCAGTAAGCGGTTGTGAGTGACTTTAAGTGCACAGCAGCATTCACATGGGGAGTTAATGTAAAACATGCCCTGTAGAGCATAGGCTGAAATTGAAGGTCACCTTCCTCTTCTCAGATCTGTACTTTATGTTCTTGGGTTGTTGGGGTTTTTTTTGTTTTGTTTTACCTGAAAGCAGCTTCTCAGGTTTAGGTCGGATAGTACATTAATAGACACAAATGGTTCTTTAACACCAGATGTGATTTGTGGCAGTATAACAGGTAGAGAAAGGACAATTCACAGCACAAAGATCAGTAGCATTCATTTCTTTATTGTCTATACAGGGAGACCAGAATTACAAGCGTTGGTAGAGTCACAGCCTAAGCAGACCACAAGCTACATGATCCTTTACTCAGCTTGTGCTGTTCAGAACCACATCTGTTTAGCTGCATGGATAACATTAATAGTAATTTATTGCTTTGGCTGACAGCAGCAGGGAAAGCACCCTGGTTGCTTTCAAAACCGCCTCAGCGAATGATAACGTTGCTGAAGCTTTAGTCACTTGCTTGTCAAGGGCTGGTACAGGAAGGTTGGCAAACTGGAAAACCTAGTATTGCACAGGAGAGAGCTGTAGTTCTCACGGCTGAGCGAATTGATACTTCCTCTGCCTCCTGTTTCTCTGTAGCTAGTGCAGCCACCTTTTTTTTGTTCTTCCAAGGAATTCCCCGTGTTTATCATCAGTGTTTTGAGACCACTCCTGTGAAAACTATCCCGACTCTCCCTGTTACCGTCTCCAGCCTCGTATCAGAACTCTGACTGACCTGAAAGCAGAAGGAAATGAATTGCCTCTGCGCTCGCTTTAGAGGCAGAGGTCCTCGCACAGAGACAGAAGAAATGAAAAGGCAAAACTCTGCTCAGGAGCATGAGATTATTGAATTACCAGAAGATAATGTGGAGGAAAGTGAGGCTGATCACAACAAGCCTCTAAATACTCAAACGAGAAAGGTAGGAATTTTACTTGCTCATTAGATCGTTGCTGTTGGGGAAAACACTACACAGGAAGAGAAATGATACTTTGCAGAAACATCTTGTGGGGGGGGTCCAGTTTGCTGTTTGAGGGAGAGGGAAAGGAGCTGAAAACCTACTTTTTTTCTTCTTATCAGTGAGGTGTTCTAATACTGGAGTAACATTTTTAGCTTTAACTTAGGAACTGAAATTGTATTTGGTGCTCTTGAGTTTTGCTTTCTATTTTCATGCACTCTCAGTGGGATTGGGATCAAAATCAGAAAGGGGAAAAGCTGGAATTGATTTTAAACCCAAGCTTTTCTTCAGTATAAACTAACCAGAAAACAGTGCTGCCAAAACAAGAATAAAATGTCCTCCAACAGAGCATGATGGATTCTCTTTCTTTTTATCTTTGAGTAACTCACAGTTATTAACCATTATGAATTTGTATTAACAGAGCGCTCCAAAGCCTCAGTCAGGATCAACATATGAGTCCTGAGGACGGTAGCTCCAGTACTTAGCTTAAAGCTGTGGAGCACACTAATGCTGGCAGAGGTATAATGTATGTTCATAGGTGACTGTTGTGCAATGGTTTACATTACTCACTCCAGGAATATTTGTGACAGAGCAAAGATGCTTCCCGCTTTTCTCTAGGCATGGCTGAGCCCCCCTGAGAGCTGTCTGTATTAGTCACACCACCCCTCCCTTCCTGATCTTGCTGGAGTAACTGCAAATATTTCCTTGTGCCAGCCCCACTGATCATCTCTATGTGCTGATCCATTCCACTGGCTGGGCAAAACCCCCATTTATTCTACTATGTCAGGGGTCAGCTACTTCTCCTTTGGTCTGGTAAGCTGAGTCAGCTTGCTGTAGTGTGAGACAAATTTGAGGGAGGTGCAAAGAGGAACGGGAGAAGGTGAAAGAGAGGCAGGGCTGAGCTAAATCTGCTTGGCTATATTGCAAAACTTTACCCTTAAGTTTATCCTTCCCCTTCCCAGAACTGAGTTTTCATTCGAGCTCTGTTTCTGCTGATTCTGGCAATTGGCTTCCTGTCCTATAGGGACTGCTGGAAAATTATCATGCTTTGCTTTCTGGTTAGGTGGCAGGTTAATCAGAACTGTCCTGCCCATCAGGGAGAGATTTTTCTCTGCTGCTGTTGCTTCCCCCCCAGCAGTCTTGTGATGCCTCTGGGCATTGCCCAGAGGCTCATGGACTAGTTGCAGAGCTCAAGGTTTTCATGAGATCAAGGCAGTTTGCTATGTGTGATTAAGAATTACACTTTGTGATAGTCTAAATATGTGGCGGCTCAATCGAAACTTGGGTTTGACAGCTCTCTGTCTCAACTGATATCACTGTACATGATTTCAAAGTTGCACTCTAAGCAATAGTTACTGGCTTTTAAAAATTTTTTAAGTACAAAATGATATGCTAGTCTTAAGTATTAAATTGAAACTTCTTTCTTCTAACATATTTTAAAAATTAAATTAAAAAAATTATATGTATATGTATTAACAGCTGAAAGCATGCTGTAAGTCAAACCATATTCAGTTTTTGCTCTTTGTTCTCCACCAAAGCAAAGTTCTGTGTGCAGAGATGTCTGCAGAGAGTGTTTCCCTTTTTCTGCCCCTGCTCCTGGAGAAATCACTCTTGTAAGATCTTTCTGTAAGTGTTTGTTTTCTCTCCCTGTCCCCCTGCCACCCTCACAAAAACTTTTAGCCAGCTGGTGGATTCAGTAAAATTCAGTGAAAGCCTTTCTGTTATGCTGGATTCTTAGAAAGTTCAAAAAATGAAGGGAGGTAACCTGGATTAGTGCCTCTTGCCAATCTGCATGTGTGTGGCCCAGATAACCTTTTCCTTACTTGGTACTAATGTCAAAAAGGATGTGGAGTTTACTGCTGGGTTTGTGATGGATGGAGAGGGGGAAGGAGAAGGAATAAAAAAGGCAACATGGTCTGCTTATGAATTCAAGCCCTTCCTTCAGTCTTCTGGCTGTGGAACAAAGCAGTTGAAATTTTCTGTTTTGCTTTGTCACCTAAGTGAGGTTTTTATTGTTTGGTTGGTTTGGGGGTTTTGTTTGTTTGTTTTGTAATATTCATACCACTAAGTTAACTAATTAAAAGACTAATTTTTGCTATGGTCTTACATAGTATTAAAAATTAAATATCAGGCAAGTATTGTCCTTTCTCTCCCATATGAATGTGCACAATCACTTTGGAGATAGTTTTCTTGTGGTCTCCTAGAACAGGTGAGATTCCCATTAAACTCTCTATTAAATATACTCAATAACCTTCAAGTTTCCCATCTTCTGAAGAAAAAGGGAGTCAGCTATAAAGGTCTCAGCTATTTTATGGTGGATTTAATGCAACAGCATCTATTCAATAGCGGTCCCTTTGCTTTGGTGCTGGTACCCAGCAGCTATGCAGATTGACATCATCACCACTGCAAAGGTGAATGATTTTGGAAATACCTCTATAGACACCTTTTTGGTTGGGAGAGATGGCAAATGTTAAAAGGGCAGCTTGTGGAACACGCAAATCAAATTCACGTAGTTAAAAATAAAGAGGGAGCCAAGAACACACCTTTGTAGTACTTTGGCTTTAAGGGCTGTTTAGGAGTTGGAAATTCTGCACAAATGGGAATTAAATGTTTTTCGCCTTTCTGTGAAAGTCCTTTGCCTTCTGCAGGTCTACATTCCCACCTGCAGCAGTAGTCAAGGGTGGGAACCCCTGGTGTAGGGCATTGCTTACCTATGAGGTTCTCCCATCTATGAGGGTTTTTTGTTTCTAAATGGGACAGTAGAGACTTGCTTCAATATTTTTTTCTTGCCTTACTTCGTTAATCAATACGTCTTTCCCTTTTATAACTAGGAGAGAGACCACTGGAAGTCATGCAGGAATGAAGTTTTCTGGAAGTGTAAACTGTGGATGGTTATAACTTCAATATTTCTAGTAATCTTCTTCGTCATTCTCATCAGCCTAATTCTTTATTCTAGTAAGTATCTCACTCTTGGTTGCAATAATACAAATGTACAATACTTACAGTCTAATGTAACACAAACTTTTTCCTTCCTTTTCCATCTCCTTTCAATTATTAGATGTTTACACAGATGAGGATGACTATTGGGATCCTGATGCACTACTAAACAGTGGAAGTTACCACAATAGCATCCTTTAAACTCTGTCATTAAACTGCTGAAGGGACTGGGATACTGACTGCAGAGGCTGGTGGGTTGGGTAGTGGATGTGAATGCTTTTATTTTAGCATGCAGCAAGCAACTTGTATCCTGATCAGGTGGCAATTCCAGTTTGTAGCTAAGTGAGAAAATGTTGTGAGGAGAGACATGGGGATGAGGATGGAAATTATGTTTGTCACATTGCAACAAGTGCCGTGGATCACTTAGATCCCCTCAAGTGGGGTCATTGTCACCCAGGCTCCCAGGGCAGCTGACTTTTGCTGATGGGGGTGGGTGTTTGACCTTCACGTGCTGTTGTTTTTCTTCAGGTGACTTGCTGTAAGACTCCAAGCCCAGGGAGCTGCCAGCTCACAGGATTGGCTGGGAATTTTGCTTTAATATTTAGATATAGGATTCACTAATATCTCGAGATAGCATCAAAAGAATAAGCCACGGGCTTGTTCCCAAGGAATTTCTTTATTAATGTAGGGGAGCAAATAAGGGGACTTGGCCAAAGTTGAAAAGGACACCACACAAGCCAGACAAAAACACTCCACCACAACACTGACTCAGCATGTACTAATAATCGACAGCACTTAACATCCAGTAAACCAACAACACTTAAGATACAATCCCTCCAGCTCCAAACCACCTTAAGCACCAAGAAAGGAGCAGAGAAAGAGAAGCAGAGGGATCAAGAAGAGAGAAGAAGAAAGAGGGAAAGGCAGATCACACAGCTACCACTGAAGCCTTGTAGGAGACCAGCTCTCACAAGTCCAATGGCAGGGCCATGACAGGAGGCAAACACATGCCCTTGGTTTTATTTGCTCTGGTTTTATCTGGCCAAACCCCCTGGGGGGGATCTCCGACCATCAGCCACTCTGGGTGTTCCAGGTCGGGGTGAGAAGTAGTGTCCTCAGTGTCCCTGCCAATGTGAGCTGGGTTAGGGGCTGTAAGAGCTGTGGGGTGTTATAGTTTTCCCAGGGCTGTTTGTGACTGGCAGCTACTCCAGGGCTTCCCCACGCAGGTCCAGGGGCTGCCATGAGGGACACAACACCACCCCACCTCCATGAGGTCCAATCCACCCCTTCTCCCTCCACACACACACACACACACACTCTCCCACGAGGTGGTTCTGACTCAGTAATAACTGACCTGGTGACTAACACTTGCAGTTTCTTCCTGTCACTCCCAGTCAGTCCTTACCCAGGAAATTTGTGAGAAAGCCACCACGGAGCAAGACAAGAAGGTTGTTTTCAGTACTTCAGCTAACTGGAACTTTTCCCTTCCTTTTCCATCTCCTTTCAATTATTAGATGTTTACACAGATGAGGATGACTATTGGGATCCTGATGCACTACTAAACAGTGGAAGTTACCACAATTTTTCAGGAACATTGGAGTTAATGTGTGGTCTCCCACACGTTTTCTCTGAGGACATTACAAAGAGGGTATGTCTTGATGTGTTTCTTGGCAAAGTTTATTCTGCTTACAACATAGTTTCAGTGTTTTTCTTTTCAAGAAGTTTCTGTTTCTCTGAGTAGCAAGTCCACAAAAATACTTGAGTTGTACTTCTTAAAGTCCTGATCTAGAAAAACAGAGTTTTCTGCTTTTAAGCACAAAAAGAGCATCTGACTTTTTTCCACCAAATTTGACTAATGATTAGGACACAGTCTTTACCTTTTTCACAGAATCATTGAATAATTTAGGAGGGGCTTGTGAAAATCATTTAAAACCAATAGGTCCTAAAAATCCTGTGTGCTGCATTCTTTCATGAGTACACAATGATAGCCTGGGTTTATAGCTACAATTTCCATCAAGCCATCACAGCTCTGAGTTACAGCTGAAATAAGCTCAGCAGGCACGGCAGTGCTCATTTAGACATCGTGAAAAGGGAGTGTCAGTAGAGAAACCCTTCCCTCTACCAAGTAAAAGTTAGAAGAGCTTTCTGGCACTGATTAAAACCCAAACCTAATCATGTGAATTGCACATGGCAACCTGAGCACACGATTTTAGATTACCCTGAATGCCTCTATTGTCTTAAGGTTATATAGCAATCACTCAAATGTGCAATTAACCTTTCTGTCAAATTTAAAAGGACTGTGTACCTCTTCCAGGGCAGATATTTGCTGATATTTGACTTTTAGTACCTATGTGTATACCCCTAAGATACCTTGTAAGAATAATTTGCTGTGGGGTTTTTTTGTGGGGAAAAGAGAGATTGAATAGTTGAAATATGTTTTTCTTTTTTTCTTTTTTTATTTTCCCTTATCCCAGCTAACAGAGGTCTATAGTTCATCTCCAGCTTTAGGACGCTACTTTAGGTCAGCTCAAGTGATTTCTTTCAGGTAAGCAATTTGTCACCAAAATTATCTGAAAATTACACACTTTTGATGAGATAAACACATAGGCATGTGTATGTATAGGTTGTTTGGGGGAAAGTTAGGTTTATAGATAGTGAAAACTGGTCAAAAGATTCTCTGGTGTAAATGAAAAATGCTGCTAATAGTATATGACAGTAGCATTTTGTTGCTGTAAAGTATCATCTCTGTTATTTTTGGTTCCAGTTGCAGCCTTTAACAAACATATTCAAGGATACTTATGAAAGGGAAAATTAATTGGTGGAGACACTTAAAATTGACGTGGCTAAATAGTCTTAAATAAATAAAACTGGGTTCATGGGGTGGAGAGAACTGTTTTGTTCCCAAAAGAACAAACAGGAATATACATGCCTCCTGTCATGGAGAAATAGCAGAGAGGCAAGGGAAGACAGAGAGCTTCCTCGAGGAGTTCTGAAAATGCTTGATTACAAAGGAATTAGAAAGATTGGAGAAAATCAAGGAAAGTAAACTCACAAAGTCCCAAGGCCCTTGAGGGAGCAAGGACAGAGCAAGGACAGCTCCCCTGGGACGTGACAAGGGGCAGTCCTGAGGGCACTTTGCCCCCTTGCACTGCCAGCTCTGTTCCATGGTGAACTGTAGCTTCTAAGCCTTATTTCCTCCACGCTTAAAGATTGTGATTTAGACCATGAAGTACAAAGGTGTAGTTCTGCATATACGTTGAGCAGCTGATCTCTCCCCGTCTGCCTCTTTGCATATCTTTCTCTTGCTGCCTCTCTTTGTTTCCTTTTTTCCCAGATTTAGCTGCCTTTTGTAATGTTTAGATTCTGTGAGCACAAAATGTAACTGTTGAATGGTAGGCAGTGGATGTAGTAGACCACAAACAATGAAATCTCCAGAGGTGGTCTCCCGTTCACTGGTTTGTGTAATCCACTTCAGAGCTGAGCCAGGAGCACAGCTGGGGGGTCCCAGGTACCGGTGGCAGGAGAGCAGACCTTTCTGCAGGCTCCTAGCCAACCCATTTATAGGATATTGCAACAGCTCTTATCGGTGTGTCCTTGTGAAGCAGGGGTGCTGAAAACCACACCCCATTAGGACACATGTCCAATTGCCCTTTGTGCACTTGAAAACATGTTTCTGGCTGGCTTCAAGTACGTGCTCAGTTTAAAGATCTGTTCTGAGAAGGGAGGAGAGGGGAGGAGGAAACTGGAAGCTTTGATGACAGTTTTCTTTCATAATGCTTTGCTTTAGAAAACATTAAAAAAAAAAAAAATCCGTGTCAACATTGATATGTAAAGTCAGTCTTGTCAAAAAAATAAAACATCCAGGGGGAGCTTGAGGGCATTCACACCTCACTTTGTTTTTCAGTAATGAAAGCTCCACTGTAATTTATCAGCTAGTGTTTTCTGTGCCACCATCAACAGAAGGATTTATGGAACACCTTATGAACCCAGATTTTATACGGAACATTTTACGTCAAAATATTTATGATGAAGACGATACTTTTAATCCTGAGACATCCGAATGTGATGGGTTAAAGCTTGACCGAACTTCTCTCACGTGTAAGTGCCTTACATTCTAGAAACTGGTTTTTTACAAAGAGCAGAAGTATTAATGGTAAAGAATGGAAATAATTCTAGAAAGGTGTTGAGAAGATTTTTTAGGAAATATATTTTGCACAACAACATTAAGAACACTGTAAAATAGTTTTGAGAAAGCCCTGCTATGCATAACTTACTACCGAGGATTCAGTGTCAGGTCCTCTGATGAGAAAGGGAATAGTGATGAGACTGGTTAGCTGTGCACTCCAACCAAACGTCTCGGATCTATTCTTACATTTTCTCTACACAAAGAAATTCTCCTCAGATGTGTGTGTACCATAGTGGGGAGAAAATAATGAAAAATATTTCTCCTTATTGTGCATTCATTTTTGAGTACTGACAAACCAAATTTTAATGCAAGTAAAACAGGAAAAGTAACTTGGGATAAAAATTCTCAATTTTTTTTTTTTTTTTCACAATCAAGGATAAGAAAGACTTGTGATTTTTGTCTTTTTGGAGGGGGATTTTTTGTTGTTGTTTTGGTTTGGTTTGGGTTTTTTTAACTTTATTATGCACAGAAATACCTTTTAAAATCACCAAATGTTCATTCTCCTAGGTTTTCTAAGCAGTGGTTCCAATGACTACCAATGACTAGGCAGTGATTCCAACAAATTTATATTTGTCTTGATAGAAATGCCAGTATAAAAGTCCCATGATCTTTGCGGTTATAATGAAAACAATGCATGGAGCTGCTTCCCCACCCACAATTTACTAAGTTAAACCTATGTGTTTTCAGAATAATCATAGGCCAATACTTCAGCATGCAGTGCATATTATGATTATTCATATTAATGTTTCATTTTAATTTTAATATTGTACTGTTTTAACTTTCAGAGAAATTATGGAAAAGTTCCTCATCTTCATCACCACCTGCAAGAGATGTGATCTCCTATCTGTTAGTTATCCCAGGGCAGGGAGCTATTCATTAGGTAGAAACACTTCTGTAAATGCTGCCTGTGATGCAATATTGTAAACAGAATATGTGGCATCTTTATAAGTGTTGCACTCCTATAACACCACTACCTCCTTCTTTATTGTCCTGATATCTCAATAATCCAGTTTGCCCTTGTGGAAATCACGTATCTTCTCTGATGCATGCTCTGTTGACTTTGAAAGCTCTGCTTTGGCTTGCCTTATGATTAAATCTGAATGCCCTGTGCAAGCTTTAAAAGTGGTCTTGCACACGGCTTTCTTTTTCTCTTGGTTTATCCAAAATTATCTGCACAACTTCACCCTTAATGCTCACTTCCAGTCATGTTGTTACTTTTTCCCCTCCTAACTTCATATGCCATATTTTCCCATTGCTCTTTCTTTGTAAAACAGCCTGAAAACTTTTATATATATATATGTATACACACACATATATATATGTATTCTTTAATTACATGTGAGACCTTTGCACTAGATTCTCAAGGAAGCTTTAACTCTCCTTATTCATCCTAGAGTCTTCCTGGATAAGGTGGTATCTGCTCTATTTTTCTCTTCTTCAATGTGAAATAGAAAAGAAGGAAGAAACATCATGAAGAAACATGTCTTGTTCACTAATGCATCTGAATGCCACAGGAATCTTTCAAGGGTAAAATTAGCTGTGTGCTTTAATAATTAGCTACTGCTACTAGTGAATAGACAGATATTTGACCCATGTCAAATAGTTAGCTATAGTCCCTGTCCCAGCAGTGGGGATAAAAGTGAACAAATGCAAGGCTTTTGCCTTAATAAGGCAGCAAATGGTTGTTCTTGTTGATGAGAGATCAGATGAGATGGATCAATGCCAAGAGCAAGGTGCTGAAGCAGACCATGTAGACCAGTGTGGCAGTAGAGTTATAGACAGTAACTGGCTATAACCTGAAAATGGAGCATTAACTTCATGCAGAATGGAATGTATTCACTACCGTGTTAGTGAAGTATACCTTCTTGTCATTTATTTATAGTCTGTATAGTGTATAGTGCTGTTGGATAGACACATTTATTTTAAAAAACATTTTGTACTTTAAGAAATACCTTATGTTAAATTGTGTTTTCTTTTGTAATATTACTATTTTATTTAAGGAGTAATCTGTCGATGTTATTGTGCATTAAATAATTTTTAGTCCCAAAGTGTTTGTTTTCAAGCTCTGGTCTTTCAGCTGTTTGAACTGGAAAATAACCTCTGGAATTCTAAGTGCTGAGAGCTGTATGAAGCATCTGTCTGACAGAGCTGTACACTCAACCCCATAGCTGTTGTTGCGTGAGTTTTATCTGAGCTTGGGAAACATTCTGGACCAAATTAGTAGTTCGCATGACTCTCTTATTTGTGCCCAATTCTGATACCATCTTGATTTGTAAGATGTAGCACTGGCTGTAAGAACCATATTTCCTCTTGCTGTAATTTTCTATGCAGCATACAGCTAGAAGAAGTATTCCTTTTGATTCTTACACTGGGGAAGATTAAACTTCATGGCCTGTGTGGTTTGTACCCAAAAGCAGCAGGCTATGAAAGTACCAGCAGCAAAGAAATAAGTTGCTATTGAGATGCTGCTCAAACTTACTACTCTTACTAAGATGCTTGAACATATCCTTGAACATTTCTTTATCTTAATTCTAAGAGCTGAAAAGTAATGTAATGATTACACTTCTTTATGGTGATACCCCTATGAGCATTAAGAGTTGAGAGAAAAAAAGGAGACAAGCATTCACTTTTTTACCCAGCCATCCTGCTCTGCCCCAGTACCTTAACCCCCAGGAAAGAAGGAGGGGGAATTGTAGTAAGACGTGATATTAAACAGAAAATATCCAACTTTACAGACTACATCCAGTCAGATTGTATTAATTATGATTCAATTCAGCAGTCCCTAATTTTTTACACATTTTTTCATCAAGTTAGATATTTTGTGTGGATGCTAACTGTGAATTTTAATAGAAGGAATGAGGGTAATATTTTAACAACTGAGACAACTGAGACGCTGTTAAAAAGCAGCTTATGGAGGGTACAACCAGCCCTTTAAAATCCCATAGCAGGTAGTCAGTCATCTGTGTAACTACAACAGCCAGTACTAGTTTTGGGCAGACTCAGGTGCCCGTCACAGCGGTGGTACCTGCAGGCAGTGTGTGTCCTTCCACACCACAGGCAACCATTCACCTGTGGGACTGCTCCTGGCTCTGCAATGACAGGTGGCAGTGGCAAAGGCACTACACCATAAAGCCAGGGCTGCAGCCAGCCATCACAGACAAGGGAAGACTTAAACTCGGGAAAACTCTACAACACTTTCTTCCAAACTGTATTGTTACAAAAAAGGAGGGAGCAAAAAAAAAAAAAACAAGCAAACAAACAACCACGCTTAAGCAAGAACACAGGCACATAATTGCTTTATGAGCTCTGGTAAACAGTTGAATAACCGGTTTCAGACCTTTGAGCATGTCCAGAAACACTGCTTGCAGGGGAGTGATGGGCTGTGAGGAGGTTATAGTCTACCATTGCAGGAAGCCAAGCCTGAGACTCCGGCAGGAGTGAGCTGGAAGAGTTGTGTCATGGAAGCAACACCTGGGCTTCTGCTACTGAGAGATAGTTACCATCTGAGCAGCATCAGTATTCACACTCTTCTCAGTGGGTGTAATATTTGTTTTGCATGCAGTTTATTGGGGTTTTTTATTTAATTCCAACTTCATTAAGACTTCACACTTAGATAAGTAGTATTACATTAAAAGGGGAAGGGGGGAATTTGAGAAATGAGTTATTTATAAAAATTGTGCATTGTATAATGGTATAAATCAAGCAGGACAGAAAAACACCACAAGGCTTATGCTCTCATTTAAAACATAAAAGACCCCCCAGACATACAAAATAACCCTGTTATTATTGCATTTTTGAGATTTGCATCAGTAGTTATTTAAAGACCCCTTTGCAAAGTATTATAAAAGTCCAGAAGAAGGTGCAGCCTCGGTTGCTTCTAACACTGAAGCTCCTAATTTTCTATAGAGGAACACTGTCTTTATGGTGGCTGTTGCTATTTATTCCTCCTGGTTTAGTTGTCTTGTGCTGTACCGTGTCCCTGTTTCTTTCTCTGATCACCCTTTCATGGACAGGTTTGTCTCATAGCAAAATGACTGGTAGATGTATCCTAATGCGTAAGCTGGGGCTGAGAGGGAGTTGTTTGTTGGAGGACCTGACAGCCCGGGTAAGATGGTTATCACAGCTGCACACACTCAAGTTAAAGAGTATCTTCTAAGCACCAGGACATCATCATACTCGCTGTGCTCTTCGGGGCTGGTGATAGTTTCCTTCTCCTTGGGCACTTTGACAAGGGCATATTCTGTCCGACTATTGCAGTCGGACCTTTCGTGTTTTACACCGTGGCTGACAGTTGAGTACCACAGTTCACTGGAATTCACAGAATCTCTTTTGGCAACATGTTCCTGAGGGTGGAAATGGGAGAGGGACAAAGAGTGAAGCTCAACACGATTATACCCTGAAGAAGCTGAACAAACCTAGTATAGCTTCTACATTCCCGCAGTGCTATCGACCAATATACACAGTACCAAGAAGGGTTTGTGAATCCACAGTCATTTCCCTACTGTACAGGCTGTGGTGGCACCCCTGGAGCCCCCAGCAACACATGGACACCTGGTGTGGGTGGAGGGTGAAGGCCTGACTCACGTCCTGAGGAACCAGCACTGCCAGCGAGGGTTATGTGGTAAAAGCTCATCACCCCCAGCCCCAGCTCCCCCTGGGGCTGTCCCATAAGGGACATCATCCTGGTGAGCCCACGGTGACATCCACCCAACCAGTGAATGGGAGCTGATGGGGGTGGAGGGAGAGTTACATGGGACATTTTATCCATTTATGTGAAGGGAGAGCATTTGGGATTTGCACAAGACTTAACATGGGGATGTTTAGGGGAGGAACTAAAGGGAGGGTTCAGGGTGATTTGCAGAGTAAAATGCATAAGAAAACAGAGGAATAAAGGGAGGGATAGAGGAGTCACAGCCAGTTGCCAGAGAGACTGTAGGGTCTAGGACCCTGAGTTCATGTTTCATGTGTCTGTGCAGGAGATACACTGTCCTGGAAGGGGTCCTGGCCTCACTGGAGATGAAACGATTGTTAATCTCTTCCCTGGCAGTCCTCATCTAATGCCCTCTGTGAAAACAGAGGGAGGAGAAAGAAGAGTCCCTTCCAACTCAGAACATTCTCTAACACCTGTCTGCTGTAATTTCTGTAAGAGCCATTAGCAGAGGAGGTAAGATTGTGTGGGCAAATGCTTTCCCAACTTTGTTTAGACTTGTCCCTCCTTTTGCCTCTTGAAGGTGTTTGCTAATGGGTTGTGGGTGATTGTGCATATAAATAGCTTGCAGGATGACTCATTAAATCTAAAGGGACAATGTGAAGTGATTAAGTACTTGGAGCCAGAAGTTAAAAATTTGTTTGCCCTGATGTTCTTGATTTAAACCCACTGGTTAATGAAACCAATGAGTAAGAAGAGGCTCTATAGTGATTGTCCTCAGCAGCGGCAGTCTTTCAAGTGAGTGTTGCTGGGTTCATGATGACATTTGTAGCTACCTTTCACACCCTGTAAGTGGAATAGTGGTCTCTGCTTCATGGGTTAAAAAACACAAAAGGTTAGGTTTTATTTTTCAAACCTGGAAGTGAGAAAGAATTCTTAGAACAAAATTCCTGCAGAATTTGTCTTGGATTTTCCAAGCTTATGTAAATCATACTGTCTGTATAGATTCTCCTTGGTGTGAAAGATCTCCTGACCTTGAGGAGACTTCACTGAAAATAAATCCTGAGTTTTTATTTGAGGCTTTATAAAATTTTGAGACTTATACATTCCAGAAATTTTAAGGACCAGAGCGATCATGGTAGACTTGCCTAAGAAAAGGAATTTCCTACCTATCTGCAAGTGCATGGCTCTCTCCTCACCTGGTCATAATTGCAAAGAATTGGGAGCACAGCAGTGTTTCTCTTAATGTGCCTGTGAAATGAGAACAGGTAGGCTCTTAATTTTAATGAGTGACTGGCTCCCAGTCCACTGAGTGAAGTCTGGAGCACCTCTTGTCTGTCAAACGTGCAGGTCTCTAACCAAGACTTGCTCATACCAAATTTCCCAGAATCCTTCCAGGCTCTGTGTTTTAAAAGGTTATTATCAACTTCCTCTTATCAGCGGGGAGATCAAAGTGCAGAGGTGGAGTGGTTTCTCCCACATGCTAATGGTGCAGGAGGAGCAAGAGTGAAGACCTTCATTATTCACAGGCTAAGTGTAAGCTCAGAAGGGTCATCTTTCCTATGGCACTAACTCCTGGGACTGTCTTTGAACCATGCTCTGGAGCTTTTACTCAGGACACCAAAAACTCTCAGAACTTGACAGCTACTTGGCAGGTTCCCCATTACAGTTCCACCCCCTCCTCTTCTCCCACAATCCATCCCACACTTACATATAAAAATGATGAACTCATTTCATCACGCCATTTTCTGTCATCTTGCCCACCTTCTTCAAAATTTTCTTCTAAACTCCCACTTATCTGCTGGACACCAACTTTTGTTTTACTGATGTCATCTTTATTTAAAAAAAACCCCACCCAAACCAGCCCAGTTAGGCTGCTAAATGGCAGTGTTTCGTTCTGCACTACATAGGGCTTCTGGGGATCGTTCGTCATCAGGGACTCAAGGCGACTTCACTAACCCCCCTGCTAAAATGAACTATTTACAGAGCAGAGGTAGCAAACCACAGGTACTCAGCTGCTGCCTCTAGGAACCCAGCGTACTAACACAGAAAAACGACCACACAAGACTGAGAAGTGGCTGTTCCCCCACCCCTGCCTTTCTGGATGATAAGTTCAGGCACAGAAGTAGGGAACATACCAGCTTATGGAGTTACCTCTTAAATTACTTTGGGGTGCATTACCAGCACTCCTAAATCTAACTCTAAAGTAGGGAGGCAGGTGGGACGGGGCAAAGTGTTTAGCAGTCTTTTCTGTGTTGCCATGTTGCAATGGTTTATAAGAAACTAAATGTGCAACCTGAAAGGGCATGTTTGTTTGGTTATTTTTTTTCTTTTCTCCCTTCTACAGTCAATGGGACACTGGAAAGGGAAACCTTATTCTGTTCCAACAGAGACTTAGCCATTTGTTGAGGCATCAACAAATTTACATTTACATTACATTTACAGTGTAAAGATTACCCTTTAAGCCTCAAAGGATTAAATTTCCCTTTGTTTTTCAACAGAAGACTTCCTTTATTATTAAGCCTGGTTGGCAATAGTCCAATTCAATGATTAGAAAATGTCATGTTGAAACCGAAACTTTTTGTGGAAACATGTCAGTAGTCAAGAGAGGCTACACTGGTTACCAGAAAGCTGAAGGGAGAAGGGAAGGTGGTAGAGGACAGAGAAGCACCCCCCCAGCTGTAACTTCTGCAGTCACTGGGGACACTCACCCAGGGGACATGATCACAAGGTTCAGCCTCCTGAATTGTCTGATTTGGGCCAGGCAGCGTTACAGTGAGCCTCAGAAATTATGAGTGAGTGCTGCAGCCTGTTTGGCTGCTGGCTGCCCAAGAGTGCAGCTGAGTATCGGTGTTAGAGTTTTATGTGCATACACTTATTTTGTACATAGGCTTAAACGGATGTTTTTCTCTGTCCCAAGCAAATAGTCTGACTATGGGCTTTTCTCTCTCCCACGGGAACATGGTGGACACCACATCTTTCTGATATGTTACTGTTTTGTCTCAATGACCCCAGAGAGCAGCAAAAAAAAAAAAAAAATTGCTTTTAGTCTTTACCTTCAGGGTGCTTGATGGATTGCTGTAGGTCTGTGCTGAGGAAAGAAAACACATGTGATTGTCATGCTTTGATGCAGCAACATGAGACAAGGATTTTCAGCAGCACAGGACTTAGCTACAGACTGAGCACAGGCTGTGCAAAAGCATGAACTCACGTGGCATGAGTTGGGGAAAGAACTAAATCTCTGAGGGCTAAATAAACCTGATGACTTTTCAAGCTTTATCTCCAGTTTAGCACACACTTGTGTCACGCAGCAGTGCTCAAAAGCCGTAATAAAACCTAGATTTGCAACCTCGTTGGGTTTTTCTTTTTGTTGTTTTGCTTTGGGAGGTTTAATTAAGTGAAATGAGTTGTCCAGGTCTGTCTTAGAAATGGATGTTCTTGCTTGCTTGTTCTCTGGCTCTGTTTTAGCTCTATGGCCAATGGAGCCTGAATTGTGCCTGGGATCACTGGCTGGGTGCTGGGGCACAGAGGTTCTATGAGATGTGCCACATGCCTGACTGTGTGCTGGCTGCCTGTGTGCACAGGTCTGGCAGGCTTGAGCCCTTCTGGAAATTCGTCTCTCTGTCCCATAAGCATCTAAATGGCAGAGGGCTGTCCTTTGCATTATGCTTTCTCTCAGCCTTGTTTTTAGCAGTCTAGTTGGTTCTTGTTAGGAGGTTGATTGAACTATGGATCGCTCCTGTAAAAGTTTAGAGCTTTCACTTTCACCTAAGATAATGGCATTTTTAAACATACTTGTTTTGCAACCTGACAGAAGCAGAGACATCAGTCTCTCAGTATTGTGTTAAAGCTGCTACCTTAGAGAATTTAAGGTGTTTTCAAACATTATTGTGCTGCCTAAACACTGCTATGAAATTGCTGATGTAAATGACTAACAAGAAGCCGTTTTTTGCTAAGCAAATGCTGCAGCTCTTGAAAATGGTGAAAGTATTACATCTTTGCTACATGAATGGCTTTACCCACAGAAGGAAAATGTAGCAGTCTTAATCGAAACCAAGACCTCCTGATTCACATGATCACATGTGATCCTGGCTATCATATGAGTCTTCCCTATTTGCATATTCAATATGCAGAAACTGTTTTATTAGGAGAATGTGTCATACTGACATCTGTTTAGAGAAAGTTCTAAACTGTGCTTGTGTATGGGGAATGGGGGCTGGTGTGTGACCAAATGCAGGCTGTGCTGTGCTGGCAGCCCACTTCCTTCAGCAGCCCCCCACCTCATTTGCAGGGGATGAAGCAGGGGCACAGCAGAAGCTCCCCCACCGTGGTTTGAGTGCTTGCAATGCTGTGGGTCCGGCTATGACGTAGGAAGACCCATTTCACCACTGCAGGAGGCAGCTGCAGAGCAGTGGCTGAGGCACACACGGTTTTGTAGCAGGAGGGGATGGCTGTCCCCTCATGCTGCCTTCTCCATAAACAAAAAAAAAACAAGAGGCCCCAAATAATCTAGCACGGTGGGGCACCAAGAGGGCAGGTATCCCCTGCTGGATGCAAGGAGGTTTCCCTCGGCTGGAATCCAAAATGCCTGGTCATGGGTGCTGCCCACCGCCTCCGCAGCGATGCTGGATGCTGGCAGAGAGCTCCCCCTTGCCCCCACCCATGCCATGCCACATCACCCTCGGGGTGTTCATGGAGCCTCTTTACTTACTTTGTTTGTGGGAATATCTTTTTCTCCTGATGGGGATGGGTACTTTCCACCTAGAGCATGGAAATAAAGGTGAGCAGGTAGGTCTGGCACTTCACAGTCCTCACTCCCCACTGCCAACCCATGGGCACCTGTGGTGCCATAGAAGACCCCTTCTCCAGCTTTTTGGATAAGGCACTTTATTTAGCTTCTCTGCTGCTGTTCTCTCCTGGAGGCAGTCCCTGGTAAGGCACCCAGCTCTTCCCTGGAAGCTGCAGGAGCAGGGGCTGTCACAGGGGTGTAGAGGCACAGATTATGGGTCCTAGGATGGAGGGATGGCAGGGACAAGCTGGTGGCTGTTGGCAGGTGTTACAGCATGTAGCTATTTGTGGGAAGTACGGCATGTGTCCCTGTGGAGAGCCTGGCAGTACCTCAGCAAAATTTGTGGTTTTGAGGAGCAATCAGCCTTTCTGGACTTGTCTGTATTAAGTACCTCTAGATGAGTGAGTGAGCAGTAAATATTGGGGAGAGTTAGGGGAGAACCAGTCTCATGCTCCCACAAATGATCTACATCAATCTGACCTTTAGTGTCTCTTGGTGAAAAACAAAAGGAAGAAAAACACAGCAGCTGTGCAACACAACTTGCAAACACAGGGGTGAGTGCAAGGCTAGTGGACACGACAGCTTCTGGCACATCTGTCTCCAGCAGCTGAAATAATTCCTTGCTGTTTCAAGTAAAGACTATACTTCCAGGTTTAGGTACTGAAGTTATTTGGCAAATTTAGAGCCTTTACATTATGTTCAGATTGCTGCTACCCTGCTTCTTGGTAATAAGAACTAGGCTTGCTGGGGCGTGTGCTATCGCTTATAGTTTAAAATGTTGTGCTTGTAAAATGCCTGTAATTTACAAACGTTCTGCAATGTACTGTTAATATTTATATGTTAGATTTATATATATAATAAAAATGCACTAAGGGGTGTACAGCTGCCATGTCATATGAACTTGGGAATTATGCCCAACTTGCTGGTGGAGGTACGTTATGACTAGGTCTCTAATTGCTTATTTGCATATGCTCTTTCTTTCCCAGGACTGAGGCAAATAGCTAATGCCATGATTCTTTGCTGTTGTTGATACTTTCCTTGCTAAATGTGTGTTCTTAGGTCTTGTTTCTTTTATATACTACCCATTTCTTTCTATATGTGCCTCTGGTGCTTTTATAAGAGTAGCAGAAAGTTTTGAAAATATTAGTAAACTTCCCAACTTTCTGCTTAGTGGAAGAATTTAGATTGCTTTCATTAACATCTGTATCTAAAAACAAAGCTATAATCCTACCTTGTTCCAGGTTGCCTTCTTGATTTTCTTTGAATTATATATAGTGTTTTTCCTACACTGAGCACAAACTTCTCTAGCTTTGTTGGAGATGCCAGGGGGACTGTTTCATACAGTTCAGTCCTAGAATCCCTCTGAGATACATTTAAAATAAAATATGCACGTATGTTTATAATACACATTATTCACATTAAGAGTCTGTTGTAACTGTCAGACATTGCGAGTTTGATATAAGTATTTTTGTTTTCTGATTATTATTTATTCCCTTTTTTCTTGTTTGTATTGACTTGGCTTCTCATTTTTTAGTCCCTTCCTCAGGTGGAAAGGCTGTTGGGCTTAGTTAGCTCTTCCCCTGGACTGTCAACTGCTGCACAACTCCCAGATAAATTCTAATTTAGTCAATCATGTGTAATCCCGTGGGAAAACACGTCATGTGGTCTTAGAATTGAAAGCATTTCTCAGCATCTGCATTCATGCTGATGCTGACATGGTGACTCTCTGGGGCAGGTCCCCAGTAGCTGGAGGAAGGTAGCCCAACTTGCCTATGGCTGGAGGGGTTCTGGGGGTTGGTTCTTGCTGGGTTTTCTGGAGGCAATTAAAGGTATAGCTTTATCAATGAAAATGCTGGGAAATAGTTCTGACCAGCAGTTTTCTCAAAAGAGGAGAAATATGACTCAACTATTAAAATGAAAACAAAGGCAGAATTCCTTTTCTTTCTTTCTATTGTTTCACTTTGCTCTTTGCAGAGCAAGCTGCATGAGCTGTCATGCTCAGGAAGTGGTCAAACCAAATATAGAGGTGCTGCTTAAAAGTGAACTCTTCAAACAGAAGGGATGAAGTGGCAGACTTGAGGATGTATAGAAAGAAGGAAAGAAAGTCAAGAAATTAATTAGAGGAAGCAGCAGAGGCTATGGGTAAATGATAGAGTCTGAAATCTGCAACATTTTGTCCCAGCAGCTGCACCATTAAGCACCTGCTGTTAAGAGCTCAAGTTTGTGTTAGGTCTGCTTTGTTCACCTGAAATTAAGATTGCCTTCAATCTGATTTTACTTTGATCCAACTGCCTAAGGGCCAAAAGACAAGGCAGTGGGTGCACTTTCTGTCCATGAAGGGGGACTTCTTGGGCAGAGGTAGTGGGACACTGCTGGTAAGGTCACACAGGGACCCACTGAGCCACCTTTATGAGGGGTGACACCAGCCCCATCTGCTTCCAGAAATATGATGCTTCTCTGCCCTGCTGTGGGACTTGACACCACTGGCCGTGGTTGGTCAGCACCTACACACAGACTAATCCACCTGAAGCTGATGAACTTTTCCTGCCAGTCTCACAGGAGTGATAATTTGGGATTATTTCCTCCACCCGACTGCCAATTTTCCCAAGCCTTGTAGATGCCGCCCCACCTGCAGGTGCCCATTTACTGTTTTTTTTTACCCTAAGTCTGGTTAAAGTTACTCAGGAGAGATGCTGACAGCTGGCTGATGTACCTGCATGAGCCTCATTCCTCAGGAATTTGGTGTGGATGAGCTGACTGATACAAGTTACATGCAAATTTTATGTTGTAACCTGAGCTTTCTCTTTAGGCTGACTCTGAGCTTGTCAGGTGCTGAGGAGCAGAGGAGCCTTTCCTAGCTAACCTCCAGTGTCTCTGCCTCTCATGCTACCTAGTGAGCAACAGCAGCCAGGACTGGACTTCTGCAGCACCAGAGCTTTGCAAGGTTGCTGAGTAACTGCATAGGTATGGCTGTTTCTCGGAAAAAAAACCACAAACAGACAAAAAAAAAAACCCTACCCTTGTTATTTCTCCATTACTCTGAACTTTCACGAAGTTTATGATTTCTCTGAAAGGTGCGACTTCATCATCAATTGGGCAGCTATGACAGACGAGTGACATGCTACACAAAAATCACACCAGGCTGGCACAGCTCATTGACAGGAGCTGGAGAGACGAATTGCAGTTTCTGTCCTGCAAGGGCAGCTGGTCAACGCTCTCCCTGAGTTACTTCTCCTGGCAGTAATTTGTTAGAGTTTTTGACAGTGAGGAAAACACAGTGGGGATGAGCACAGGCTGGGACACAGCACCACGCTGGTGCTGCCTTTTACAGTAGTGGCCCTTCCTCCCCTCTGCTCTCATGGGGGATATGGGGTTCATGGCCTTGTCAAGCTAGAAGGAAAAATCTGCTTTACAAAAACCTTGCTCACAGTTCCGCTTCCTTCTCCTAAAAAGCAGTCAGGAACGATTTCAAAAGGATCAGAAGTCCCACCCGTAAGTGTGACACAGCCACTTAAAGCAGTGGGTATTCTGCAAGCCTGGCAGCAAAGAGCCTGGAGCTGAGACCCTGAAAGAACGTGAGCTCATCTCTGCTCCTTGCTACCACAGGTGAGGACCCACCAGCTTCACATGGATTTTGCTGGCTTTGACTCAAACTGCTTTTGAGAGTAAGGCTTCATGCTTTGGGGACTTTTGCCCTTTCCCTCAAGGCCAGGTAAAGTGGTCTTGACTTAGATGTCTGGACACAGACCTGCAGGGAGATGAGGGATGGATTCTCTTCGGAAACAAGCAGAAGGTTTAATTTTGGCAATGGAGTGCCTCATCTGAGCTCCGTAAGACCAAGTAAGCAGTCAGGATACAGTACTTAGAGACTGCAGGACCTTTTCTTTGTTTCAGAAAACAAGGGAAAAGAAAGGGAATTTTCCACCTGTCCTAGGTGGCTTCTGCGGAGTATCCTCCTCTGTCTTCACAGCTCCTGAGGAGATAGTCTATTCCTAATCACTGTTGTCCATAACTATAGCATACTTATGTGTCCCATGTACAGCATTTAAATACATTGTACAGTTTAATCTATTTTTTTATAGTTTATATAAAAGCATATCTCTATGAGACATGGTGCCAACAGATAAGAGATGGCAAGGTAAACCTCTAAATGTAGTTTTCCTTCCTAGAAACTTGGAGCAGATGACAAGTACTTTCTGTTCCTTGTGTTCTTCACCAGGATGAACGCCCGTCCTCCCTTCAGCAGGCTCTCCATGCTGGGAGCCTACAGATGAAGTCACCTCCCTAAAAATCATCCTGAGGTAATACTCTTTGACATACTAAGAACTATATTGTTCATCCTAATTTGCTTTCTAAATTACCTTTCTTTAATCAAGAGGCTCCTCCCGGTGCCTTACGTGGTCTCATAAGTCTGATTCTTTGAAGGTCCTATTTGCTCCGATTTTAATGGAATCATTCTCTTAATCGTCTTGTTTAGTAATTAAATATAAAGTGGTATTGGACCTACCTTATTTTTGGTAGGAAGTTTCCCATGCTTCCACTGGATCTCTGCACCTTGGGTAGCCAATTTTGGTGTGGTTTCCTTTCTGGCTAGATTGTTTTCTGTACTATCTGTGTTACAGAATGAAACTCAGTGACCAAAGCAGCTCATTCTCTCTCACACTGTCAAACATATGCAGGACCTAGATGTTCTTCACCTAAAAAAAACCCCAAATCACCCCAAAGCCTCTGCTGCATGAAAACATTTTAAGTGGGGGTGGGAGAGGAAGAAGGGTGGAATGGATGAGTGATGTGGCTTCCTGAGACACTGGTGTGTATGCTGGTGCTGATGACCTTCATGAAGTGACTAGGGTTGCAGCATGAACTACATCTAGGTTCCCTTGACCAAAAATAGCAACTTAGGGTGTTTTTTGGCAGGAGGAAAACACATGCCTGGCCACCTCTCTCTTCTGAGAAATGGTGTGACACACTGAATGGTACAAACCAAACACTTCAAACCCCAACAAAGCACAGCCTTTCCTACTGAAGCTTTCCAGTGCAGTCTTTTTCTGCTTCTTCCTCTCCTTTTTTTTTTTTTTTTTTAATTTTATTTTTTAAATTTTTATCCCTTTTTCTTCCTCCTGAGCTATAAGGAAAAAATAAAATAAAAGAATTAGAAACACTATTTGCAGGGCTAGTGGTCTGGGGAATGAGCAAATTTTTGTTCACACATTCTAATTGTGGTACATTACTGGAAAAGAAAAAAAAATCTCTGTAAGACTTTAGGTGTCTGCAGCAATTTCATCAAAACTCAGAGGTGAAAGAAGGATTGGGCACTTAACAGGACAGTTTGACAGCATGTGCTATCCCCTGGGAACATTTAGTTTTGCAGATAGATGTGCATCACCACAAGCTACGTCTCAGCTTATTAGCCCCCTCCTTTCCTTCTCTTTTGCACTTTACTAGGCAGTCCCACACTGGATTTCAGCACCAGCAGCTCTAACTTTTAGCTGACAGCAGTGTGCTGGCAGAGAGAGGGAGTCCAATTTGGGGAGAGATCACAAATCAAGTACCTCCAGTCCAAACATGACCAAGGATAAACAGCTGTGTCTGTGGACACAGACCTAAGGGTGGACCTTAGGGTCCATCCTGTGTCTGTGGACCCTAACCCTAATCCTAACCTAGTTCAGATGAGCACCCCTCAGTCCTGCAGCAACACTGGGCTGTGGACTGCAGGTCCTGCTGCAGCTCCCCCTGGTGCAATGACATAGGCTGGAGCACACGTTTCTAGATGCAGATACTGTCTTAACCCCAGTGTACTGCAGCTCTCCAAACTCAGGGGAGATGTGGAGGGATTTGCCATATCCAGGCATTACCCACAAACATGTTATAAAGCTCCAGAGATGTTCATTTGCATTTGACAAGCTGCTTCTCAATAGTAGTACCTACTACTAATACCAGAGAACCAACCTCCAAAAGTCAGTGCAAATCACAAGTGGATGAAACCACCCTCACTTTTTTTGTTCTCTTTACAGAAAATGCCTTGAGAGGTGGCACTGAATCCTGCTGACAAGGTAGGCAGTTGCCCAGTTGTTAACCTGGGTTTGGGTGGTTGAAAAAACAGTGGTTTAGATTGATGGTTGACAAACAATGTTTTGGACTCCAACTGTACCTGAGTGGTTCCCATTTTCTGAAAGTTCAAGTTATCAGCTTCATTAGTCATTTGGGCTGTTGGGAAATGTTGGTATTTCAGGACTATGCAATTAATTCTTGTATGTCATTTTTGGATTTACTGGGAACTAGAGAGCACATCCTGGTGAAGCAGAAATGAGGAAATGAATGGGAATCACTTGGTTTTTCAAGCAGTGGTTGCAGAACAATCTTCTCCTGATTTATTCCCAAGCTTTCGCTGGCTTTAAAACATGAGTGATGCTCAGGCATGGTGTGCAGTTCTCAGAAATAAAGATGCTGTGCCACTGAAGCAGAAGAGCGTGAGATCTGTAAGGAAGGAAGAGGTCTGTAATCCATCAAAAGTCTCTGTAAAGATGAACAGAGCAGGAACTGCCTGAATATATGCCCTTAAAGATACACTCACAAAAGTTAAAGAAGTGGCGGGGTTAAGGAGTGGATCTCATATTTCTGCCTGCCTCGTATTGAAAGTAATTCATCAAGTGCTGATGTTGCCAGGTCCCTGGAGAAAGGGAAGGGATCAGACAGAGATGCTGCAGCAGTCAGATGTGCAAGCGGACACCCACCCATGTAGGCTGGTAGAGAGGTCTCTGCATGCTCAGAACCTGGAAAAGGCCAGAGCTTGGAAAGAGCAGCCAGAACACATGGCTTTTATCACTAGTTATGCTGGGTATACAGGGGTGCTGCAAATGGAGCCAACAAATTTTTCCCACCATTTTTTCCATCTCTGTTCTTTGTTAAGACTGAGGGTTTGATCTTTTTCAAGAAGTGTTTGCTCTATCAGCACACAGATTTCAGGGTTTTGGAAGATTAGAGTGTTTCTGACAGAAAATACGATGGGTAAAGTCGACAAGAACATTTCCTATATATCAACTGGGCTTGCAATTCTTTTTAAAATCCGATGCAGTTCCTTTTGTGGTCACTAAGTGGTGTCAGCTATAAGGACAGTGTCTGCAAGCTTGTGGAAAGTTCTCCTGTTAAACTATTGTTTCAAAATTGTAGCAGAATGACAATGAGGAAATAAACAAAACCTGTAATCAATCTTTTCAGAGATCATTTGCACCCTGCTAAGAGACTGTGCTGCAAAAGGACATAGTGTCAGCAGATTTTAATGGGTTGTGGTTTTGGGGGGTTTTTCTTTTAAGTTTTGGAAGTTCTGAGAGGCTGACAATCAGAAATTAAATATTTAGTTGTGAATCTCCTTTTCAGGGCTAACAGCCTTCTGTCTGACTTGTTCCTAAGTCTTGGTCCAGAGCCTGTTGGAGGTAATTATATTGCTTAATAGCTGTAAAATGGTCTGGGAAACCACATAAGAACCATTTTTACGTTGATTTCACATTTTGGTCAGGCCAGAATGCCCTTCCAGAAGTTTTGCATGAAAATGCAACTATGAAAATAACTCAAGGAAATGAAAACAAGATACCTCAAATGAAAAAGGCAATAGTATGAACTAATTGCAGTTTGCGAACTGATGGGAGTTAATTATTGAACCTACTCAAAAGCACATCCAAAATGTTTCTTTACAGGCATAGGGATACCCGAGCTGTTTCTGTTTCCAGATTAATTACTTCTTGGGAAGAAACAAGGAACTGTGAATACGTAAGTACCTCTGAGAATTTTTTGTGTGAAGTTATGACTTGGGCCCATTGGCTTCCCCTAAACTATTTGCATGATTCAAGGCTAATCTATGCAGCCATTCAACTGAAAGAAAACATTTTAATTGCAATCGTAGTCATTTGGAGTAGTAAGAATTTTCAGAAATAAAAGCCACCTCATCAGAAAGCAGAAACATGAAACACAGTTTACCAGTAGAAGTTTGATTAGCACATGAGGTGTCAGTGGCTGGCTGCCCCACTGTGCGGTGTGTGAGCCACCCATGGGCTGAGGGTTTGGCTGGTTTCGGCAGTATGATCACAACCCACAGAAAAAAGGGAAACACAGGAGTAATAATGACAAAGCAAAAGTGCACAAAAACAGTGGCTCAAACCAGCTGTGTCACCTATTTTAATGTCATCTCAAGTGAGGGCAGAGAGCAAGGGGTGTCCTTGTGGGACAGCAGCCCTGTCTTTCCTAGGGACGGGGCTAGGGAGGGATCATGGATCTCTGGAGATGGGGCCAACCTCAGTGGAAGAAAGGGGAGACCAAAGCTCTGATTTTTCTTTGAGGCAACATATGACCTATGTCCTGGGTCTGACCCTTGGCTTGCTCTGGTCTCCTTAACCTAGAAAAAGAGTTGTGTTACAGCAGCATCAGCAGCTCCTGGGTGTCCACTGACTTACACAAAGGGTGCAGAAATCTAACTGGGTCCTCTGAGTTGGGGACATTTGCACTAATCATTGCAGCATGACTACTGACCCAAACTCCTTTCCTAGAGCTCAGGTCAGGACCAGGGTGGTCTTTCATCCTGCAACCCACAGACCCTGCTCAGCCAGCTTAGAAATCTGTGTTTGTATTTAGGCACTTGTGAAAACCCAAACTTATGGAAAAGGTGCTTGTGAAAAACCCATTACCCATGTCTGTGTGGCAGCCCCACTGGGAAATCATCAGTTTCTGACTGACGTTTGTTGTCATGTCCCCCCAAAATTTTTTTATTCAGCTGAGTGTCAGAGGGGCAGGAAGTTTTTATGAGGTCCCTCTTACTGTAGTTGAAGGCACTGGGAATGTCCCTAGAGTACGAGCGCAGTGTATAAAAAGGGGGAAGTCACACTAGATGCATCAGTCGCTTGCTCGTCCCGCTGAGCATATAGCTAAGATGATGATGGTCTCTTGCCTGTTCCTCTCCAGCATCTGGACCATTGCATCAGGTAACTCCTTTGTCTGTCTGTGTGTTTGTGTCATTACTGTAATGGCCTTAGGGACCTCTCTGACCCTGCCAGCCTTCTGTGCCGCTGGATGCTGCAGTCCCCACCTCTCACCCCTCCAGGGCAAGCCCAGAGGTGACACAGCACATGTGGCACTGCACACGACTGCGGTGCTCACCTGGGGCTTCAGGCATGTCACTGCTGGTCGTGTTGACAGTATCCGCTGCTTAATTTACCACCAGTGCATTTATAAGCTCCAGAGAGATGTACAAATTTATTGCAACCAGCCAAACATCGCTTGTAGATGTCTGCTCAGGCCACCAAAAGTGTGTGTGTGTGTGTGTGTGTTACACTGGGTTTGTATTTAAAAATCATGTATAAAAGGCTGAATTAGTTTCAAACTAGCTTTCATGATCGTGATTTGTATTCTGCCTGTGGCACAGCAAAATGACTGGTACAGCTTCACAGCTGGGTTATTGGTCTCTGGTGGAGATCTCTCTGGCCATGGCCACAGCCAGAACCCGAGAGCGCTTTGTTGGGTGGGTTAGCCAAGTGTACCTCTGGGCACTGCAGACAGCCTCGCTCCTCTTTAAAGCCTACAAAGATATTTAGTGTTCTTACACATTGAATTACATGTTCTCAGAGATGCACCTGTCCTTGCTGATATCTTCCTGCTCCTGCTGATGTACGCGAATAAACTTTGAAAACTATTATCCTAAGAGGACTGTGGAGCTGAGCTGTCAGCCTGGGAGCATCCCTTTTCCTTGCCTGTACCCTTAAGAGTTTTTTCACATGTCTATAAATCGGAAGAGGAGACTGTTTTTTCTTTTCCCTAGAGACCTTTAATTCCATGGCATTTATGCTGTGAAAGTTTTCTGTCTGTGGGCCTTCAGCAAGGTCTCTTCTGCAGCTGCTTCCCAGCTGCATGGCCTCAAGCCTGAGAGAGCAGGACAAATGCAGTTTGCCTCCGGTCTCCCTACCTTGCTTTTTCCTTCTGGTTTTCTGCTCTCTTGCCAATCTCTGACAAGTGTCAATGCACAGTGTATAATGAGACACATAATTTTTAGAAGTTTTACAGATTTCCTTCACTCTGCACCACAGGAGGGCTAAGAGAGAGGTAATGGCCCAATGTCTGGTCACTAGCACAGCTGAAACTTTAGGGAACCTCTCCATGGGTGCCCACAGGATAGCAGTCCCAGCAGACAGAAATCAGTGGCTCCCAACACCAGAGCTGCCTTTCTCAGTGGTGCTCTCTAAAGCACAGGTATCAGGCTGGTGAGATGCTTGGTGTGAGAGGTGGTAGGTCCAGTGAAACTCTCAGAGTAGTTCTTTCAAGTTGCATTTTAACTTTTTCCCTGGATAGAGGGGCAGAGAAATCCTCCGGTGTTGCTCTGGTTGGAAGTGAGGGTGTGGGGGCCTCTGCTAGGGTTGGGCTGCACACGAGTGTGAGAAAAGCTGAGTGAGGCACCTGCTTCTTTTGCAGCCTCTGTGCAGGTGATGAACAGAAAAGTCCAGTCGGTCCAGGCAGGAGGAAATGTTACTTTTTCGTGCCGGTCAGTGACAAAAGAAGATGTGATACAGGTGACCTGGCAGAAGGAGACGGAAGGGACCGAGGACAACATAGCGACTTACAGTGCAATGAACGGCCAGAAAATAGCAAAGGGCTATGTCAGCCACGTGAGCTTTGCCCACAGCGACTTACAAGCCTCAGCCATCTCCCTTCACGGAGTCACCCTCCAAGACGAAGGATGCTACAAATGCATCTTCAACACGTTTCCCTCGGGGGCTGTCACTGGCAGGATGTGTCTCAACGTTTATGGTAAGGCACTGTAATTGTGTACAGGCTTTCTTCTGAGGACCAAGTAATTTTCACTGTGAAAAACCTTCCCTGACATTGCTCCATCGCTATGGGAAAAGTGGCTCAGCTTCCTCTCTGACCCTCTCTCCCTCTCTGGTTTTACCTCTGACAGGAAACCAGCGTTCAACATTTATTTTATTATCTTCCCTTTCAAGTCAGCAACAGTGAGATTCAAAAGCTGAAGTGTAACCCATGAACTTCCTCCAAGTTTCCCTGGTCCTGTGCTGACAGCTGGCTGGGCACAGCCATGAACCCTGCACTCTTCTTCTTAATTTCACTGCTGCTCTCACACCCTAAGCCTGGAACTTGGGCAATTATTTCCTTGCTCTGCATTTGGTCTTTAAAAAATTGCAAAGTATTCAAAAGGCAAAGAGGCACATGCATGACCAGAGTAGTTGAAAGCTCATTTTGAAGCAATAGTAAAAATGACAGTAGTTGTTCTTGGGCCAGGAAAAGGGCACAGCTCATGGGCTTTGCCACGTGAATATCTTGAGCAAGTCAGCATCAACTCCCTTAAAGAAGAGAGTTGAAACATAGCATGAGTCAAGGTGGCAATATTTGTCACCATATGTAATCGTCAACTAGCAAGTACAAACTGAAATAAAGATAAATAGAAGAACTTAGTTGAAATAAGTGAAAAGTTGCTTATCTTTTGAGGAAGGCTGCTACTTTTCTGCCTGTGAAAAAGCTGAGGCATTAAACATGCTCTGAAGTCAATCTGTTGGCTCCCGAGTTCCCCAGGAACAGCAAGACTGCTGTGAGGACATTGGCCAAAGGTCATACCCCATGTGGAGAATATCAGTGTCTGTGACACTGATATGACCTCTGCAGAGTATTTTGCTTATCCCTAGTACCTTCTGCTGACAAAGACACAGATCCATGTGTCCACACACGTATGGAGTCCTCTGTGTGGAGAAAAGACACCCCTGGATTATAGGGGAAAGATGACTTAGGTAATAGAGGAAAGGTGGTGGGAAATACAGGAGAAAACCAAGCCTGGAGCAATAGTGCTTTTTGCCATCTTTTGGGAAAACTCCTAGAGCAGAAAAGGCAAATGAGGATAAATTCATGTAATATTTCACATATGAAGAGGAAGGTGTTCTTAAAGTCACCCAGCTCTGAGTCACTCGGATGGTAAACACTGATTATACATTACAGGAAAAACATGGAAGTGCCTTGCAGAGGGATCCTGTTCTTCTTTATCACGTAAATTGAACACAAAGTTAGATTTCTTTTGTTTCTGTTTTTGGTTTGGTTTGCGGTTGTTTGGTTTTTTTATCCAAGTGGGGGAATTTCTTACCAAAAACACCAGCCTTGTGGCTCTGCTTCATCCTTCACCAGAGCACTACTTCTAAAACAAGAAGTTGTTTTTCTGCTGCCAGACATACAAGCGTCTCTTCCTGCACCTCAGATGAAAATGTATCAACTGAGAAGGGTTTCAGTTCTCTCATGGGCTCGTGGGCCACTGCCAGGGGCTGCCTCCTGGGGGTCATGGTGGCCTTCCTGTAATGTGCCGCATCGAACTTGTCCTGGGGGGGTCAGCATGAACAATCTGAGTATCTGGCACTGTGACAGAAGATTTTGGTATCCTTCATTGAATCTAATGCATGTGATGCTACTCAAAAGCCACAGTCTTGCTCCCTCATCCCCTGACACATAATGATGGGAGTAACTTGTCTGAACAAGCCCAGAGGGTGTCCCATGACGGAGTGTGAAGCCAGCAGGAATCTCCCAAGGCTCAGGGACACAGGGCAAGGTAAGCAAGCCAGTCACCAGCTGAAAATGAAACGGTGCCATGCCTTTGCCCTCAAGAGGGGACTGCCAGGGGGTTTACAAGGTGGTAATTGCCCGATTACAGCAGCCTTCGCAAGAGCGGCTGTTCCAGGATGGGCACCATCGCTGCATGGTGAGGGGAAGTGAAACCCTGTAAGAACTGGATACAACACTGTGAAAAAAGAAACAGGTATGACTGGAGGGATTTCAGACTTGCCTGTTGGAAACAGCAAACCCAGGAAGAAGCAGAAATTTCTTACCCTTTTGCGTAATCCATTTTGGAACAGAATAGTTTCAGTCATGCTCGGCTGGTCTCTTTTGAACAGTCT